GAGACAGCTACATTCTTTCCAAATAATAGAATCAACCAATAAAACTTATCTTCTTCTTTTCACTAGAGTACATCATTTTGATGAGTCACGTTATGCTGAAATATTTAAAACTCTGGAAAATGCCAGAAATAGGTTATTAATATTTGAAAATATAAATGAAATAGCAATATCAGATTTTAAAAATCCTTTTGAAAAACATTCATTTACTAAGATATATAATATGCTAATGTATCTTTTCCATAATACTAATATAAAAATAAATATATATCATAATAACATAGTTTATCCTTCACCTACTGAATTAAAAAAGATATTACGTGATAATCACGATATACCCATTGCAGGACATCTTGGTTCTGTCCGCATGTATAACAGAATAAAAGACATGTATTATTGGAAAGGAATGCGAAAAGATGTAGAGATATATGTTAAAGCCTGTAAATCATGTCAAGAGAATAAAGCCTTAAGGAAAATAAACAGAGCACCTATGCAAATAACCAGCACTTCTACTGCTCCCTGGCAACGTCTTAGCTTAGATATAGTAGGACCACTTCCAGAATCTGGGACAGCTAAATTAAAATACATTCTCACACTTCAAGATGATCTTACTAAATTTTCTGTAGCTTACCCAATTCGTAGTACAACTGCAGAAGAGACAAGCGAATGTCTTCTTCATTTTATTGCTATTTTCGGAATTCCCAAAATGATCCTTACCGATCAAGGAACAAATTTTACATCGGAACTTTTTAAAACAACTTGCAAATTTTTAAAAATTAAACAGTTATGGTCTTCGCCTTACCACCCACAAACGCAAGGAGCACTGGAAAGAAGTCACTCCACCCTGAAGGAATATCTGAAATCATATGTTAACGAAGGACAAACGGATTGGCCTCGTTACGTCTATACTGCAATGTTAGCTTATAATACCAGTGTGCACTGCACTACTCATTTTACACCCTATGAACTAATGTTTGCTCACAAGCCTTTTATTCCAAATTCTATTTTCGAAGAATCACCTGGAGCAACCTATCCAGAATATGTGAAGATGCTACAAAACCGTTTTAAATACTCAAGAGAAAAGGCAATTCAAAACATACGAAATTCTAAAAACAATTCAAAAAACTATTATGACTCTCATAGTAAACCACAGCAATATAAAGTAGGTGATTATGTTTACCTAAAAAACCATTTAAGAATGCGGAAGGCCTTATCTCCTTTATGGAAAGGACCTTATAAAATCGTGAAAATTCTTGGTAACAATACGTTATCACTATTAATCAATAGACGACATGTTACTCACCATTATGACCAAGTAAAACTAGCTGATATATCTAGTAATAATATAAACTGATATAATCAGTAATATAATACTTTATGAAATTTCAAATTAATTAGATATAAGTCTTTTTTTTACAGTTAATTTACATTTACTTTTATATTTTTATTTTATTTTTTATTATATTCAACTTAAGGGTTAAATAATTTTAGCATCGGGCTAATTACGTAAATTAAAAATAACTAACACATTATAATATTTTCAGTGTATCCGCCCAACTGGAACAGGAATTCATCCAACGAATTTCCGCAAGCTCCGGCATTTATTTTGATTACTTAGGAAATGTAAAAATAATTGAAGGACAATTAAATGTTTTAATTCCGATAGATACATCTTTTATAAAACCACATATTGACAACATAAATTCAGTAATCAATACAGTTAGAAACAACTGTAACCAAATTCCAGATAGCGTAGAATGTTATAATATATTTGAACCGTTAACATTTCGTTACAATGAAATTTTAAAACAATTTTCTGCTGTTTCTCATCTATTAGACACAAAAAATAAACGTAGTGCCTGGTTTGCTGGCATTGGTTCAGTAATGAAGCATATTTTCGGAACTCTAGACGAGGACGATGGTCTAGTTTTCAATAATGCAATAGAGTCTATACTAAAAAACCAGGAGAAAATGTCATCATTAATTAAAGAAAATGTCTTAGTAACTAATTCTATAATTACACGTTTTAATGAAACAATTTTAAAAGTTCAATTGAATGAATATCATTTAAATGAAGCAATTAATAAATTTTCTTCAGTAGTAGAAAATATATCTATTGCTACCGACAAAATTCAGTTACAGTTAAGTATAAACGAGTTATTTAGCAACCTTGAAATGTCCCTTCTTACCTTATCGTTTCAACTAGAGGATATTATAAATGCCATAATGTTCAGCAGTCTGAATAAACTGCACCCGGCAATAATGACACCGACACAGCTTTATAAGGAGCTAGTAGACTCTTTTCGATATTTACAACAAGGACTTGAACTACCAGTCCCTCTTGAAATTAATATGATGCATATTATTACGAATATTTCCAAAGTATCATCTTATTTTATGAAACCCCGACTAGTATTTGTATTGCAAATACCGCTAGTGTCTAATAAATTATATAAATTATATCATAATATACCTTTACCTACACCACATAATATTAAAAATCCTGAATCCTTCAGTCTGATAATCCCTAGTACTAAATATATCGCAATAACGATTGATAAGAATCATTATTTTGATCTGGACAGTTTGAATAATTGTTTAATTATAAGTCATGAGCATTTTATATGTGATGTTCCTAATGTATATGCAACTGATGCTAAGATTACTTGTGAAAGTGAATTATTATCAAAGGTTATTAATAAACCTCCCGACCAATGTGAAACAAAATTTATATATGGTAAAGTTGATATTTGGAAAAACTTAAATAATAATAAATGGATATTTATTCAATCTGAAAGTAGTAAAATATTAATAGAATGTCAAAAATTGAAAATACATCGTGAAAATATATTATTGGGAACAGGTATTTTGAGCCTACCCCAATCCTGCGTTGCCTATAATAAAAACACAGTATTGATGGGAAAAATTAATAAAAATATACATTCGGAAATAATTACCTTTGATTATAATATTATTAATGACACTTGTTGTAATAAATTTAAGTTAGATAAGGTTAAGGACAGTGTGTCTCCTATTAATTTAGAAAAAATAGATTTAGATAGTTTAACAGTTCAAAAAGAATCATTGAAAAGGAAATTATTAGAAACTGAAATAGATACAGATATTCCTCATATAATTAAGTATGGGACACATTATTCTATGATAACCATAATGATATTGGTTATTATTATTTTTGTCTTAGTTTATTTTATTAGTATTAAGATTATATACTATTATAAAAAATGTAATAAATCATTGGGCCTTAACATAGATTTAAAAGACGAGAATAATTCTGATAATAGTAACTTACAGGTAGAGGAACAACCCTCTTATCCATCAATCAGATGTAACATTTAATTTTCATAAACTTCGGTTTAAAAAGGAAGTCCGAAGTTTATTTTAACGGGGGAGGTGTTATACCCCTTCGCTGTATGGGTTATTGCTTATTTATGTTATAGCCCTACTAGCTATCATCATTTTGTACTCTATATATATGTCCTTTAATTTGTATTAAGTTAGTTCGAGAGTATCGTCGGTCGAGAGCACTAGCTCTTAATATCCCATATATATTGTATAAATAATTAATAAAGTTATTAAAGTGTTTTCAGTGATAAATAAATCTTTTTTTTTTTAAAAAGGGTCTTATCCAGGGACCCATAACAGTTCCAATAAATTTATTTGATTTTTTTCGAACTTCATCCTTTAAAGGGGTAAAAGGAGGTAATAAAGATTATATGGGCAAAGATTTTTTTATGATCAGAATTACTTGAAACCCAATACAATTAAACAAATACATGCTTTACTTAACATTTTTCGAAATTCAATTCCATAATGGGGTGAAATGAGGGATGAAAGTACAAACTGCAAAAATGACATCCATTTTCATATCCAAGATGGCGGACATCACTTTTGATTTTTCTCAATAATATGTTACAACCTTCAGTCATGAAGTAGTTTATGGTCGAGATAATAGATATCGCTACATGTCGCCATCACCTTTACTTTTAATGCTAATTTAATCGTTTGGTTTCAACAATAATTAGTTGACAATTATCACTTTATTTTAAATTCAATTATAAATTATCTTGTGAACATATATCATATTTAAATAACATTTATGGAAAAATGGTAGATGATTTGTTTTCTGATAGAACTCGGAATATTAGATGCCGCCATTAGTTGGCGCCACTAATATTAATTTAATAATTTATTGTTTTGTAATAAATGATAGCAATGAGTTGTTAATTACCACATTGTTAGTAAATTCGTATATTAATTAATTATGTACGATACAAGTACTTTTATCTGAAATAGATGAGAATAGGAAATATAAATTGTTTAACAAATATTTAAAAATTGTGTAACCGGATAGGAGAGAATGTCAATGATTTTTCCCGCAGTTTTTGTCGGTTTTCTGATGTTAAGTAGAAAGGGATTACGCAAAAAGATTACGAAGAACCTTAATAAAAGAGAAGGATTAAATTAATCATTGAATAGTTTTAATTCGGCCATCCCAACTTCAACAAATAACATGGGTGTAATTTCCGAGACTTCTCGAGGTGCTGATTACGAAAATGACATCCATTTTCAAATCCAAGATGGCGGGCATGTGTTTTTTTTTTCTCATTAATGATATGGATGTCATTTTCGAGGTTTCTCAGGATGCTGATTACGAAAATGACATCAATTTTTAAATCCAAAATGGCCGATATCGTTTTTTAAGTTGTACTTCTATTGGCAGGTTCGGAAAATAATATGAGAGTAAAATTTTTACGATGCCCGCGCACACCGACAGCCTAAAAGCGACACGATAAAGTTAGCTGCATACCTTTTACAAACAGAGAGTTGTAACGTGCGGGATGAAATCTTTAGCTATTTTTGTACTGTAGCGCCATAGAAGTATAACTTCTTACATGTGTACATAAGTACACACCCACGTTTTTTATAATGTTTATAATATTGAATAACATTATATATATACTGATGATACATTTAATGCACAGAGCGACGCCGCGGCGAATTCGCAGGAGGTGGAGGTGGACATCGACGAGCTGCTGGACATGGACAGCGATGAGATACGCCGGCGGCATCTCACGGTAGGTAACTATTTAACCACGTGGTGAGGACCACGCCTCGCACGGCCGGTGTCCTGCGAAGTCGATGAAAGCTTTCTGGTTAAATGTTGCTTCAGACCAATAAATTGTAAAAGGCCTTTTTAAACCTTACATTTAAATTATTTTACGACTTTTTCCAAATTGTTCCGTGGATATACCTATCTATAGTTGCCAATACATCCGTATTTTCCCTCTACATCGGTAATCTATACAATATACTCGTTTTTCACTTTTACAGACGTTATTAGCAGATGCCAAGAAACCACAAAAAGATGTACATGTAAGTAAGCTTTTATTTAAGCATATTTCGATTAAATTATAAGATAGCCTGGTATTATAATTATATCTTTAATTTGTTCGCAGAAATTCATTAATGATTTGTTAGAAAAGGCTAAAACTCTATAAGTAGCTATAAGTGGAACCAATCTCAGAGGGCAAGAGTGGAGAAGTCCCTGTGAAGACTCCAGGACGCCGCCGCTGGTCGCGTTAGATATAAGTGTAGGTATACTTGAGCAAAGTCGAACCGCGCCGCCGCCGCCGCATCGGCGGGCCGCGCGCGACACATCTGCTTTCACCCGGAGGAAGACGACGGAAGTGCAATAAAACATATCATTGTACATTATAGCGGCGCTCGACAAACTCACGGTGTTCGAAATAATACTAAAGTCACTTCCCGTTTGAGAAACCAAAACTTACATTTAAGTACCTATTGGCCATAGGTAATGAACGGTCCTGTCGTAGATCGGCCTAATTCAAATATGATGAAATTGTATTATTGTAATATTTGTATTTGTGTAAATGTATAGACGTGCGGGAGCGGGACGCGCACCGCAGCACCGCGCACTGCATTTAAGTAGAGCGTGTTACATTGAAATATTCTTATGATAGTTCTTTAAAACTATGAGTTGCTAACCGTAGTTTGTGTGTATTTGACATTAAAAGTCATGGCCAATAATCAATAACATACTACATAACCAATTGTACAATTTTATTTGTTATTAACATAAATTAATTGGCATTGATATAATCAAAACTAAACTTACTTTTTGTTATTATATAATTATAGTAAAAAACTACAGAAAACACACAGAATGTTAATTTATATTATTTTGTGATTTATTTCTAAAGTAGGTACGCTACTCTCTTACTGTCTGTCATGTTGCAAGCCTACTGCTTACATAGCCTCGTACGGCACGGCGTATGGCCAGCGCGCTGCGACCTGTGGCCTGTGTGGTATGCCACTGGCCACATTGGCCACAGCGCTGGACTCTGTGCTCGTGTCTATTAATTTTAACCTCAATTAATAGATAATGTGTTTGAAAGGAGCTAAGAATGTTAAATTTTATGTATACTCATAAGATTAGGTAGTGCAGTTTGCAACTTAGAAACTAGTCTGGATATTGCTGTCAAGTGATGATAGACTTTTGTAATAAACCAATTTAATAAGAATATCTTTTATTTACCTACTACGCAGGTCTATTTGTGTCTAGTTTTGTGATGAGTCATCTCGTCTCATCACGTCATGTTAATAAAAATTAAAAAATAAATATTTATTATTTAGGGCACTTTTAAAGTCGACGAAGAAAACGTCGACGAGCGAATATATAAATTTTATTTAAGAATTTAATTGAAGCCTACATAGTGCGCACCTTGGTACTTCTTGAATCTTAAATATATATTTAAGATTCAAGAAATATATTTAAGATATAGATAGTAACATTACCTCTAAATGACCAAATCATTGTTATTTCTTGGACTGTAATTACGGCCGAGCCGTTTAGCATTTAAAAGAGGAAGCAACATCCAGCCTGCATGTTATTATTATACTCGATATTTCCTTTTTTCGCAAAACAATATAAAGTGACTGTTAGAAAAAGCTAAATCATTGTAGGTCCTTGGCAGGAGGCCCTGATAAACAATCTCAGCCAGGTAATTAAAGTGAACAATCTCAATAAATATTTATGACATCGATCTAATTCAAACAAGGTTTTTGAAGAAGTTAACTATTAAATACAATTAACTATTATATTGTCGAACACTATTCTAGTCACATTAAATTAGCCAAAAAAATGTTAAGTAAAGTTAATCCATAAAAAAATGTATACATAGATCGTAGATGGTAATAATGCTTTACTTATTTACTCAAATAGTATCTTGTTTATTAAAATGGCATTTTGTAAGTAATATGCTTCATTAATCAGGCAATCGTTCCCAGATTACACGAAAATAAACAGTGTAAATATATAAGCAATGGGTGGGTATATATAAGTAGGTACGCATGCAAATCAGGAATTTTCAATACCCTTTAAACTATAAACATTTCTTGAAATGGGTTACACGTTTCAGCGACTACCTACGACGTAATCGCTATTAATCATTGCAAGTAAATTTTCTAGTTTAGACATTCAGTTATACCAATAGTTATTTTACAAATATAACTAAATTGCAAAGAAGCTATATAATAATTTAATTATTTGTTAGTAGCAAGTAACAAGTAGCCTGTAGTGTTCGATGTTCCCAATTGTTACAAAACAACATGATATGTAAACTACTCAGCCATAGATATTTTTTGTCTTTAACACCACATAGAAAATTTTTCATAAATATGTGGATCATTAATGATTTAATTCTACTTAATTACCACTATATATAACGTATATTACGTTTATGTAGATAATAATTAATCATTTTTAACAGATATTGGGCAAAAACTTGTTGTACAGAAACAATTAGGTACAATAAATAATATATCCTGTAGCACTTATCTACAGACACTGCAAAGATTGTCACATAATACAAAACACTTGGTAACGATTAACGGTTAACCTTAGAATAATATGATTAAGTTAGCACAGAGCGTCAGCGCGTGCGTTTGTCGAGGGAGCGACCGCGCAGACGGCGGCGCGCGAGGCACAGCGCAGCGGCCAGTGCGGCCAGCAGAAGCGCGGCGGCCGCCGAGCCCACCGCCACGCCGCGCAGGCGCGCATACTGCGGCACGCGCACCGCGCCGCCGCCCGACGCGCCGCCGCAATCCACGCGCGCCCAGTAGCTCGCGCCCTCCTCCACCTCGCTCACTGCAGTGCCCATGGAACACCACGTTAACTTATGTTAAGGTACGGAAAAAAGCACATGTTCACCAAAAATAACTTAGTTCTAAAAGTTTACCAAGATTTATAACATTAAATTACAAATGTAAAAATTTCCAACTGAGTTAAAAACGAACTAAATGATATGATAATCTTCTCCTGACCAATTTCGGCCACGGTGACCATTCTCACGGGACTAGCCAACTGCGCAGGAGATATTACTTATAGTGCCCAAATGTACGCGCAGACACAATGTATACTTCTCTGTACTAGTAACTCCCACATTCCGACTCCGAGGCACGGGGGTGAAACACCGCCAAATTTTCAACTCCTGGTTGTTAATGGGACTTTCGTCACAGAAAGACTCAATAACTAAACTTGGTCCGACCCGGTACTCGAACCAGGACCTCCGGATGTATTACTAGCTACTAGCACTACACCACCAAGGCAGTTAGTTTAGAATTAGTAATAAAAGATATAAACAAGTGGACATAGAAGCATTGTGCATATTATGCACTCGATAATATGTAACATATTTTGTACTCGCTGCAAGTCTTGCTACCTACTGCGTCATGATTGACTGCGTGAGCGATCCTGCGACGCCCCATTAAGACGAGGGAGGTTACGTTGGTTTTTAGTGGGTAGTACCCAGTAGTTCCTGTAGGTAGTGGTAGTCCCGTTGGTTTTTACTGGCTTTGCCGGCGAGTCCTACATAAGCAACTATATGCATTACGGGTGGTATGCGTAAATGCATTTCCCAACGTTAAAAAAAAGTCTTGCTAAGGTCTATAATATACATATATAATCCTCTTTTTGGGCTTCGTTGGTTAAAAGAAGGGATTAATGAATAAATACCGAAATATAACGAATATAAACAATTCGAATTCGAGCTAGGTTATTACACATAATATTCATTGGTACTTACTTAATTTATTAGAGCACTGATTATTATATATCTATTATTTACGAGTATCATTAGATGTATGTATAGGTACATATATGATGGCTAGGATTACAGAATTGCATAGGTACGAACCCAGTATATAATCCTGTTGCGTAGTAACTGTGGCAAGAAGGCGGTGGTCGGGCTCGGACGCGTCGTACCAGCGCAGGGTGCAGCGCACGGCGTCGCCGGCCGCGCGGCTCCAGCGCACGAGCGCGCCCTCTTCGATGAGACGCACACTCACCGACATCTCGTCGGGCGCCGCCACGCTGCTCACAACGCCACTTGTCACTCCTCCCAACACGGTGCTGCTTGGCCCTTCTGTTATTGCTGACGTTATGAATACTGTAGCTCCTTCATCTTCTTCCAGCTGAGGATCTGTAAAATATGTAATAAAAGCATTATATTTTGTTTATTGACAATACCACACAGATTTTCAAATATGGTCTATACAGTTCAAAACTCTCTCGTAATAATTATTTCTTGTAGTTACAAATATATAACATATGTAGGTATTTTATAATTGTCTTGATGAATTAGCTCAGTACAAATAGTATTTAGTTAATTATAATTATTTACGATATCATGCCGTACTCTACCTAAAGTTCGAACATAAATTGGTTTGCTGAAGAGGCCATCTCCAATATGGTCCTGTGACAGCACTCGCAGTTCGTACTCCGTGTCGGGGCGGAGGCCCACCAGTGTAGCGTCTGTCACACCGCGTGAGAGGATTTTCATTGTTCGCCATTCACTATCTAAGCGCTCACGGTACCACACATTGTATTCTACATCAAGTCCATTGTGACCTATGGATACAGAACTATTTATGAAAAAATACTTGTATCTTTAATGTTATGTAATTAATATTAGTGTTTAATACGTATAATAACATTTTGTCCTCAGATCTGCTCTTGTGATAGGTATGTCGATAGTCTATGTTATTACTAGTTATAACCTATATTTATTGTGAATTTCACAATACTACCTACTATAGATAAAAAAATCTCTACCAGGAACCCACGAAAGGTGAATGGAGTCATACGAAGCCAGGGCGGTGAGATTGTACGGGGCACGAGGCGGAACGTTCTCTATGAGCAGCTCCGTCTCGACCGCCAGCTCGTCAGCTGCGTTGCTCACTGCGCACACGTACACGCCGCGATCATCCTCAGATACTTCGCTGATTGTCAAGTTGCCGTCAATCAGAGAGTAACGGCCTTTTGGCAATTCGCTGCCATCTTTCTGCACATTACCAAAAAAATATTTTTTGTCTACATTTGCCACAATTTTGACAAATACGAGTATATATAAATAAGATGTAAAAATTATAACATAAGTCTTTAAACTGTCATGGTAATTGAAATGAACTGGGTATGAGTATACCCGTAACCACGATGCATGTAACAGTGCCGAAATATCGTGAACTCTAAACATCGTAAATATTCCGGTTACATCATAATAATTACATTATAATGTTTTTAAATACATCTTCGTAATATTTCTGAATTACTATTTTATTATTATGATTTTTTCATTTGCAAAGTGGACATGACAGAACGTAGTGATCGCTGAGGTTATAACCGTAAAATGAATTACCTTAGACCAACGAATAGCAGGTAGCGTGTAGTGTGGCTCTATAGCAGCAGTGCAAGGTAACGTGACAGTTGCTCCGAGTCGAACAAGATATAAAGGCTGCGGCCGCACAGCCAGCGCGGGCGGCCGCTGCACGCGCACGCGCACCCCTGCTGACGGGCCTTCGCTACCCAAAGAATTATAAGGCGTGCAAGAATAGAGTCCTTCATGCGATTCATCTACCTGAATTAAAATAACTTAAAAATTATTTTGTTACATGTCAAAAACACATAGTAATTTTATATTTCATTTATCGTTAGTTCATATTCCAAAAATACGCACTCGATTAAAAAGTAGACTGCCATTTCTACTATAAAAAACTCCAGGTACATTGTACGGATCGAATAAAAATCCATCTTTTTCCCAACGTAAATTTGTCAAAGGTGGATTAGCACTGAAGTGGCAATCAAGGCTAGCTGATTTTCCGTATGGTAAATATCTTTCTTTAGGCGAGTAAACAATTTTGGCTTTATCTGAAAATAATGGCATACTTAATTATTCAAAAACAATATTGCTAAACTATTCAGTACTTTCGACAATACTTACATTGGACATCTAAGAAAGCACTCGCACTTTGCACCTGACCATCCGGAGCACTGATACGGCATTCATACTCTCCCAAGTCAGTACTAACCGCTTTTCGTAGAATAAGGCTTCCATTTATTACCATTTCTGATCTCAAAGCCAACTCCGGCAACGCTTCCACGGGTACACTCTCGCGGTACCACTGTACGGCCCATTCAGGGCTTTTCGGCAGACACTCAAGTTCAGCACGATCACCCTCAAGCACAGTGGTGTTCATGGGTGGAGTCACTATCAGATTACCACCTGGAAGATAAAATAGTATATAACTACGGCTAATACTGGCTAAGGCTTCATGGTATATCGTCTCATTACTCACCGTCTACGTCTAAGTAGTAGAAAGTACCATTGTTTCTCGTAGGCGGGGTTCGATTGGGGAAGGTGACGCGACAGCGATACAAGCCGGCATCGGTTTCGCGCACTGAGCTCACATTGACGGAGCCGCCCCCGAGCCCGTGCCCGCTCACCCGTCGCACCCGCCCTCCCCATCGGTCTGCCACTTGCGGTTCACCGTCGCCGCTGTACCACGAGAAGATTGTTTCCCCCTAAGTAACACGAAATGGAAAAATATAAAGTAACAATAACGTAGGACCACCCTTAAGGTTTCATTCCATCCATCATTCATAAAAAAAAACAACAGAACTAAGTACGTTCGCCTTTTCTGTAAGTCAGTCAGTTAATTATTTATTAGGTATATTTATATTGTGTTTATTTGAACACTGGCATTAACTACATGCGGTCTTTTTCAAAAAAGTGGCACAATGAAACTGGAGTATAGAGAAAAGCTAAACGAAGAAAATAAATATTTTTGTGGGTTAACATATTATTTATTGCATATTAGCATTCAAATAATACGTCGATAGTATCGTTTGGATAACGCGAGTGTCATATGTCATATACATATAAAGCACGCGCAGTGTCTTGAAATTTTTTTTTCGTCTGCATTAATCGAGTGGGACAGGGACCGTAAAGCCCGGGCTTAGAGTGAAGCGTGAACAAATGGAATATGTTAATCATTTATAATGATAATCCTATTATAGAATTAACCCTATCGAAAGGGTTTCCACATCGTTAGTAAGTCAAACTATGATGTTAACCCGAATCTTCTTTTTAAGAGTGATAATGGAATATAATCCATAAAGTATAGAAAATTAAATCTATTTGTCTTGTAGCTGAACATAATTGGTCCTTGGAGTGAGGTATTAAAATGCAGGTTTTTAAGAGGCGATCACAAAAAATATATACAAGCATTTGAACTTTACCGCATTAGGGTAACAATAGGATGAAAATATTTAATTGACTGTGAAGTTAAGTATAATTTTGTCGGTGTAAGTAAAAGTGTTATTATGTTTTTTGCGTACTCTCAAAAATAATATGAAGTTATGAAAACGTAACGTAGTATATGTAGGTAGTATGAAGTTGCGGATTGTGAATAAGTGACCACGACAACATTCATAAACATGCATGCCGTACCGTACCCGTGGCCGTAGATGTCAGTTGTCACAGGAGGGGTCAGTTGTAATTGCCTTGTAATCAAACGTTAGTTTTCAACCGACTTCCTCAAAAAGGAGGAGGTTCTCAATTCGGCTGTATGTTTTTTTATGTTTGTTACCTCAGAACTCCTTTATTAACCAATTTGGACAATTTTTGTTTTGTTTGAAAGTATGGGCTGGCCTGGCACCGACTTCGAAAATATTTGTATTTCGAAAATATAATGATAAAATGATTATCTTATCTTCGAAAAGGGCTAATTATGGAATGAGAGTTTGTAGGTAACTTCATCAATTTTATAAATAAGATATGAAAACTGATGTTTATAATGCCAAATTCTAATCCTATCGAGCTCACTGATTTTAATTTATAAGTATTTCAGTAGCAGTTAGCGTTTAAGAACAATTTGTTACATTTTGTCATTTACATGTGTTCTTTCTTTTAAGTGCCATTCACTTTACAATGCACTATAACTCATGTCACTCTCATACAAGAAATAATGTTAAGTTAAAGACCGAAGAATATGTTAATATAGCAGCTGTCGTAAGTACTTTAATAAGATATAATCTCGTAAGTGACGCATCATGCCTAGTAAATAGTGGGTCATTTAAATTATAGAACTTCCTGCCACTTCCCGCTGACACGCGCTCATGCGACTAACAAGATATAACAATCTTCACCTCAAACTTGAATATAATTCAAACACTCTTCTGAGTTCTGGCGCGATTTACCCAACAAGAGCATTTTGTTTGCCACTGCGATGTATAGTCCTTGCTCTTGGAGTTTGTTTATTAGAACAACGTAGATAGGTATTAGACACTTGGGTATATTGTCCTTTAGGCATCCTGTGATTTATTTTTGGTACAATTCTTACGGTAGGTACTCTCCCATAACACTAAACAAAAAACATATATAGACTAACAACATGAGTAATAAAAAATGAGCTGATGAAAACTAAAACCCGACGATTGGAAAATCATGCTCTAAAAAGTATGAAAAAAGGAAATATTTTCATCTGAAATTATTATGTACAAACTATTCCAAATTTATTGTCTATTAAATAACAGAGTGTCTTACGACAAATAAAAAATAATTATTCGTCCTTCATAAAATATACAGGGTGACCCAGAAAGTAGTGTCGAGCGGAAGTCCAGAGATAGAGCACCCTTGAGGTACCCGAATCACCCCCACGTATGATGGGCGATTGTTCATAGGTTTTCAGTTATGATTTTTTTCTGAATTTTTGAGAATTTTCAAACTACTTAAAAAAGTTCTAAAAAAAAGTTGAAGACTTTTTCGAGTTCTTTTTTGCAACTGAATCTTCATGAGTTGTACTTTTATGTTTGAAATAATCAGCTTCATAACTTTGATGGAAATTATGAATATGTTGGTGTAAAGTGAAAAATTTACGTCCGGTGAGTTAGTTATGACTTAAATTTTCAATTTTAAAATGCGGGTTAAAGGCTTTTCAAGTGCGGGTTGGCGGACTTCATCGTATGTATGTATGATGTTTTCCTTCACCGTATGTACGTATATATATCTATATTCATCTCTAGGACAATATCCAACTACTGGCCGCGAATTCCCTTCAAAAAGAGTCAGGCAATTAATAGTTCACCACGCTGGTCGATTGAAGGTTGGCGGACTTCAGATGGCTTTCCTCACATTGTTTTTCTTTAGCGTAAGTCAAATGGAAATCACGTTGAAAATAATTCGCTCATGAGAATATTAGAGGTGCGAGACCCAAGATTTGAATCTGCTTCACTTAGTTTCATAAGCAAGCTGCTGCTACTAGGCTACCAATGTCTCATTCGGTACAGTATTGAATCGGAAATGGCATGTCTCCGATTGCTTTTTGTTTTGATTGGTTGTGATTTAAAAAGAGACATCTCATATTTGTAAGCGGTGCGCATTATTGCAACGGACTTGTAGACAAACGAGGCCCGCTAATGAGGCCCATCGCGGCGGCGGCGGAATGCGCAGGTCGCAAATGCGCAGGTGCCGCGGCCGGCGCGACGCGCGCTCAATCTGCAGCCAGTGGCCGGTGGTTGGCGCTCAACAGGATAATTGCGCCCGCCCGCACCGCGCCGCGCCTCGCGCTCCGCCCGCCTGGGAGCCGCGCAACACGTAATCACCTAATGCGAAGCAATGACAATCGCAATGCAGGCACCTCCTTAAGCACGCATTCAGCCATTCTCTCCCACGCATGTAGTCACATCATGTACAAGTTTCTATATTTCAAAACCGTACATAGTACATATCTACTGATTATATGAAACCATTTAATAACATGGCTTACCTATGTGACATCTCCCTTATGTAAATTTCTAAGGACGACGCGATAGAACCAGTTACAATAACTGAGTTATTGAGTTTTCCCGTGGGAATGAAAGATTTACTGTAGGGAAAGATATTTTAAATGTTCACCCGAGTAATAAGTTATCACCACACAAATTTTAGTCAAAATCGATCGAGTACTTTTTGCGTGAAACGCGAACACACAAACAGACATTCGGATAAACAGATTTTTTTTAAATAACTATTGTTTTGGGGGTCTATAATATTCTGTACACAATACGTTACAGACATTGTTTTTAAAAAATATTTCATGTACAGATTTCGCTAAGTTACTGCTTTATTATATGTAAACACTAATACAGATCTATTAGTTCCCACGGGAACCTTTCATTCTTCCCGGATGAAAAGAAACCTGTTGTTTGACCGGCAACATAAGGTATCAGAAAGTTAAATTTTACTAAATTAGGTGCATAAGTTGTTGTGTACTAAGCTGTATAAGTTACTACAGTTTTTTAACTATCTCACGGGAGCTCTTTAATTTTCCATATGGAAAAGTATCTTACATGTTGACCGGGGATATAAGATACGACCATGCAAATTTCATTTAAATCGGTCCAATAGTTTCGGAGATTAGCCCGTACAAACAGACAGAGAAACAAAAAAAATCTGGATTTGTTCTATTTTTCTTCTTACGGGATGTAAGAAGATAACTGACTCGGTTTTTAACATTTTTTTTCTATGTACAGACATTCGATCTCTACAGTTTTATTATATTTATAGATAGAATAAATAACGTATAATAAAACAGTAATATATAATAATGAAAATAGTTATAGAGAGTGTACCTTAGGAGATAGACATATACTATTGAGAACTTTTCTATCGACCTTTTTAAGACTTACAATTTTCTTGTACAATGTTTTGATCTATCTCTTAAGGTTGAGCCAACGTTAGCCATATAAATTTCTATGGACAATTCGATAGAACCAGTTATTGTGTTTTCCCGTGGGAATTAATAATTTGCCTGTCGTAAAAGGTATCCTAAATGTTGACCCGAGTACTAAGTTATCAATCACTATACAAAATTTAGTTAAAATCGGTTCAGTACTTTTTGAATGAAACGCGCACATCGATTTGACTAAGTTAGTTTTATTATAGGTATAGATAAGAATAGATATTGCTTAAGAGATATACGTATATTATTTAGAAAATTCCTGTAGGACTTTTTAAGACCTACAATTTTTTAGTATATTGTTTTGATGTATGTATGTCTTAAGGTTTAGCCAGCGGAAGGTTTCTAGGGATGACTCGATAAAACCAGTTATTGTATCTTCCCGTGAGAAAGAAAGATTTTCTTGAAGTAAAAGGTATCCTAAACGTTGACTCGAGTAATAAGTTATCACTTCACCAAATTTCGTTGAAATCGGTTCATTACTTTTCGCGTGAAACGCGCATACAAAAACAGACAAACAGAAAAAGTAACCTATTTGTTATTCTGATGTATGACCTATATTATTGTAAAGTTTTATCAAAATCCAATTAGTAGTTTTTGTGTACTAAGCTGTATAAGTTACTAGTGTATTAATTGTCCCACGGGAACCCTTTAATTTTCCGGGATGAAAAGTAGCCGATTTATTATTGTCATGTATGAACTATATTATTTTAAAGTTTTATTAAAATCCAATCAGTAGTTTTTGTGTACTAAGCTGTATAAGTTATAATAGTTTTTTAAGTATCCCACGGGAACTATTTAATT